AAGTTGATAATGATCAGTCCTGTTTTACTCAACGTGTAGAACTTCCCCAACCTAAGACTAATTCGATGGATGATGATTCAAACTTAAGTTTAGTTTTCATGACCGTGCAGTATTTGGATCATAATCTATAATATAAAGCTGCTATAGAAGAGTGCTTATTAAGTAAAATGTTTGGTTTCTAGGGCTCTTCATTTCTTGCTTGTTTGTCATCAATATCATTGTAACAACTATCAATTCGAATTTTCCAACGGCACAACTCAGAAAAATTCTTTGTTTTATATCATCTGGTAAACACTTCTCGCGAGATATGCACATTCCCTTTCTAAAAGAATTGTTCCAGAATTAGGAAAAAAGACAGTCGTGTCTACAGCTCTGGTTATTTAAATTCATACCGTTTCAATGTAAATATACACTGCAGTAAGTCTGCAATAAAGGACCTTAAGTCATGCGATGTAGATGACTTGCAAGATGCCGCCTCCCGGTTAGCTCAATGGATAGAGCGCTGGACTGATGTGCGGGAGGTCGAAGGTTCGAGCCCCTGCCGGACCAACACTCAAGGTCTTAAAATAATTGAGAAGAATATGCGTCCTTTCTATAACATCAAGAAATGGTTAGATATTCTAGTCTTCTCGGACAGGGACGAATAAATGGAGGTCCCGTCTCCTGCAGGGTTAGGGGTAGGAGACGTTAATTTCCCACGCACGAGATTACTGAGTGATGGATGTCCTCCCCTGGGGTGAGATGGGTGAGTTGTTGTCTTGCGTTTCATACATGAGCCTCTGGCTCGGGCAATATGGGTAACCATGCCCCACGTTAAGACATTAAACTTTGATTACTATTTGATTACTATGGGTGATGGACAATACACTGACCCCCAGTCCGTGGAATACCCCGATGGATTATCCAAATTGACTACCCCAAAATGGACTAACCCCACAAAATCCTCTTTCGAAAGAGTTGTATTATAAACACAGGCATTTCTATACTGACGTTGCATGCGCCTTTTATTTTGTTAACTCTATTCAGTAAATTTCTTGAATACATGCGGTATTTTTTAGTCAATGTTTTTCGTTTCTCTTAAGAGTCAAACCGTGAGTCAGGGCCGAAGGAATGGCAATGTATTGTTTCATTATTCTACTAAGTTTCAGTATCATATTTTTCACTGGCTACTCCAATCATGAATGTGTATTGATTTTAATTCAAGCTTCAACTCATTCACATTTGTAAAACAAATTAACTCTTAATGCTTTAGAGGCAAGTCAGGTTGTGGAACACTGACGCCTTGTTGCAGTCTTTCATGTTTGGTCACCCTGATGTCTTAAACACTATGTGAAAATCATATATGTGTACTGCGGTTTCATGAAATGTATGAAAGCGATCCTCGCAGTAATGAACCCTACTTATGTAGTAGTGGAAGTAACTTACTTCCACTGAGCCTGAGGCCTGAAAAAAGTCCAGGCCCGCACGGAGTTTGAACCCATGACCTCTGAGATACTGATGCAAACAAGCCAACAGGGAGCTGGTCAATATGTTGGTTCGTAATAAACTCGTCGAAGTGATGAATCAATGAATTTTAATAAATGAAAATCATACATGAAAAAAAAATCATAAATATGGATGTTTGTCTGAAGGATTCCTTAACTCTCCTTGACCTGAGATATTTCCTTTGTTGTATGTACTTGAAGTATGATGATGATGATGATGATGATGATGACGATGATAGAGGTGTACATTACACATTGCCACTTATTTAACTTTTAGGACTACAGCTTTGTTTAAGGATAGTATGGGGTTATACAGAAATCTTTACTCAAAGTGTTTGAGTGTTTATGTGAAGGACTTCCATTTGCCTGAAGTTGAAACATTTCCTTTGTAGTATACTTTTGAAACAAAAGTGATAGTGGAGTGAGTTGAATTGCACATTCTTCAACCCCATCACTGCTAAGATCTTAATCGTAATTCCCCTTACTGTCTGCCATACAATTCTTGTGATGTTAGTTTGGAGAATTTGTTATTGGATTAACCAATAATCCCCTGGCTGGTTGATATTTTCCTCTATTTTTATGGCTACTGCCTCCAATGGAGGCGAAGCCATAATGTTGTCCTGTTGCGTGAGTGTATCAATAGAATACGACCTCTTAGCCCACAACGAAGTCTGCCGAGTTTTACCCGATATTAGAGAGATTTAGCGTCGCGTTTACGTGAAACGGCAAACGTCAGCTTACCCTTTCCCGTTTCACGTAAAACAGCGTGAACCTTGCTGCTTTAGCTCTGCGTGAGCTAACGTCATGGTGGATTTGAAGACGCCTTGTATGAATTGCAAGGAATAGTTTTAGTGCCCTTTTCCTGGCACTTAACTTCTACTCTGTGAGAGAAAAAGTAAAGAAAATCTTACATACACGGCAAACGCGAGACTGGTTACCTTCACGTAGAAACAGCAATGCGCAACCGGCAAACGTGAAAAAATGGCGGGAAAACAAGGTCAGATGATCACTCTTGCCGTTCCGCGTTTCACGTAAACACGGTGCTAAATCTCTCTA